CTCCACTGCCTCCTCCGCCCTCAGCGCCACCCTCGCCACCCCCACCGTCGGTGCCACCGCCATCACAGCCAGAGTGTGCCGGCCCTAACAGTGGTTCATGGTACTTGGGCAATGCCGGTGACAGCTGCGTCCAAGTCTGCGACGCTCAAACAGCGCAGAGCGGACCGAGACTCGTAACGACGAACGACGACTTATTCGCGCGGCGCTTTGAGTTAGATACCGTAGAAAAGGTGAACTCACTGTATCGCCAGGCAGACGGGAAAGATTGCTCGGATAGCTCAGTAGTCGGCAGCAGCTTCAACAAGTATGCCCCTGCCGTGAATGGCGACAACGACTTCTGCATAGCAGTGAACAGTGCGGGTCAAACACTAGAGGACGTCGACATCACGCAGTCATCTACAAACCGGCGCAGATTCTGTTGGTGCTTTTGCTACATGCCTCCACGGTCCCCGCCACCGCCACCGCCATCACCGCCGCCGTCGCCTCCGCCACCCTCGCCGCCTCCGCCCTCGCCGCCGCCGTCGCCACCGCCGTCCTCGCCAACTCCGCCACGTGCGCCACCGTTCTGCCCGACCGGCATCGTCTTAGACCACAACGACGCAGACCCAGCATCGACCAAGACCAGCTTGGGCTCGCACGATTCACCATATGAGGTGTACGAGTACGTCGGCGGGCAGTACGTCATCACAGCGACGCAGAGGCACACCTGGCTCCCTTTCACTGGTGGATCGGACGCTCCAGTTGGGACCCTCTACCTGTGCACGGTAAGTGCCCACGGCGGCTGGGGCGTGCATCAAGCCCACTGCTGCGACTGCACCGCGAGTGATCCTCTGAGCGCCTCTCGAACCAGCATGTACGGTCCGTCTGGCGGCTACACCTGCTACTATGACTGCACCGAGTGCACCGAAGCCATGTCGCCGCCCCCGCCGCTCTCACCATCGCCTTCACCGCCGCCGCCCTCGCCGCCGCCGTCGCCGCCGCCATCGTCGACGCCACGACGCATGAGACGGAGCCCTTACCAGTAGTCCATCACGGAGGGAATCACACAGACATTGACGCCCGAAGTGACAAGAATAAGACGAAAACTCGGAAGACCATGGGCAAGAAGAGAACATTCCCCAAAGAGGACTACAGAATTTTACAACAAAATTCCCTCGAAAGATACTGCGCACAACACTAGTGCGCACAGGAACTAACACAGGTACACAAAGGAAGCCTCCTAAGCAACCCCCAGGACAACAGAAAGAAAGACAGAAACTCCTTCCACGGTTTCCTTCGCTCCGGCCTCGAGGCCTTCGACAAAAGTTGCGCCGTCCACAG